GGGGCAAGTGTGCGCACTTAAGGTTTGAAGTATCATATAATAAAATATTTGAAGTTAACTGGAACAAAACAAGGTTTATTATATAAAATATTTAATAATCAACAACTTAAACGCAAAATAAATAATTATCATTTACACAAATTCTTTGGAAATCAACAAAATCAAAACTGTTTAAATGCGCACACTTACCCAAGTATAGGGGTAAGTGTGCGCAGTAGTGCGGGTAAGTGTACGCAACATGTAACATACAGTAAATAGAGTCAGACTCATACGATAAACCAGAAAATAGACATCCTCAACCTAATAATACATCAGTTCAAATAATTCCTTTTCAAAGTTATTGCATTGTTCATGCCACCAGCTCTTACAGATGCTGTATTGGTTCCAGTCTTCATTCGGTGGAAATATGTATTTTTCTCCACACAGTGGGCAAAATAATTCCTGCTCATCATTTTATTTATTTTCAGATCAAGTCGTATATTCTTTTTTGGCAATTTATTCTTCCTCTTGTTTTTTGTTTTTCCAATTCTACTTTATAAGGACTTACAGTATCAATGATTGACTTTTTGCCTTTCTTTCGCCGATTTTGAATCACAGTCATTCATCCAAGAAATGCAAAAGGCCAACATCGGTATTTCTTGGATGGATGACAGTCGTACATATTCATTCCTAGACGAAGGTACACTCATTATTGCGGGTGCCACACTGTCGTTTGCTACCAACCTCCGAAATTAATCTTTTAACAGCTTCTAGCTGTTCCTCTGTGACAACACTTCTATCCGGCATTTCTTTTATAATCGAGGCATTTTTTATGTATAATTAAACTCTGAAATAACAAATTGCATCATAAATACAAAGCCAAAGCGGAGCGGGGTAAGTATTCGCATGCGCACACTTACCCGACATTCGTATGCACACACTTATCCCAAACCATCAAAATAAAATTTAACCAGAACTGAGCAATATTACGTAATCGTCATCACCAAAAGATTAAACACGGCTTATATTACCTAAAATGTACTGTTCGATGGTATATCAAAAAGCATGATTTCAAAATATAAATATATTACAAAGGAATGAGTCTCTCATTTAAGACAAAAATCGCAATATTTCAAGCAAAAAACAATACTCACTTACGGAAACAAAATGGTTCACCGGCGGACAGTGAAAAAGTTGCACTAAGTATAGCCTTTTGTGCGCTAATGAGGAGGGGTGTTATCAGTTCGTACCTATAAACCGTTTTTGAAATACTTCGAGTGCGTACACTAACCCGCTGCGCACACTTGCCCCACGTGACTCTATCATCCATAAGAAACTAAGTTGGATAAAAGACACATTAAGGAAGAAGAGTTTAATACATTTAGATTAGTACTGATAGTCTAGAAGACCCACTTTCGAGTGAAACCGTGCTCAATTGAATTTTTTTATTTTCATATAAATAACTTTATATTTTTTCTTGAAGAAATGTTTATAGTTGTAACAGCTATCAGATGAGGCGAAGGTGAATGTTATTAATACGGACTAATGCCCCCTTTGCTATACGATCTATGTACGATGTCAGGGTGATCTCCGCCGACCTCAACATTTCCAATTTTTAAGTTAATGCAGCTATTATTAAGCATGCGATAAAAGCGACGCAATATGTCAACTTTCCCTTTCTTATTTCCAGATTGTCATAGAATTCTGTTCGTGTATCATGCTTGTTCATTATCCAAGCCACAGTACGTCTGTGATCCAAACGCTTTCGTTTGTAATTTACTGTCTAGTGCAGGGTTGTCGCAGTTAAATAATGCACCTACTTCGACACTGGAATTCATGTAAATAAATATAATATATGTACATACTTAGATAGTCAAACATAATTCTTGCTTTAATCACTTTCGTAGCATTTTTTTAATATATATATATATATATATATATATATATATATATATATATATATATATATATATATATATATATATATATATATATATTAATACTTGATAATATATAGTATTTTCTATATTATATAGTAGTACGTATAGTACGTATAGACGTAACATAATGCATGATTTTTAAATTTGTTCTCGGTTTAAATTAATGAAATATATAACAATAGTTTCTAACAATTCATGACCTTATTTATTTTAATTACTCTATCGTCTTCTATAAACTATCTTTCATATGTACAGGGATAAAAAATACAGAGTAAGTCAAAAAATAATGTTCAAGTAACCTAAACCTTATTATACCTATAAAAATTACGTGTCGCGATGTTTGTCCGCGATGGACTCCTAACTACTGAACCGAATAAAAATTTGATTTGCACATTGCGTGCAATTTGATCCAACTTGAAAGATAGCATAGCTTATATCTCAATTTATAGGCCCAATATTATTTTATTCAAAAACTTTAGCCACAGCAACGCGTGGCCGGTCTGCTAGTATTATACGTATTTCTTTAATACTGAGAGATTATTAAGATGATTTTGTTGCCCATGGAGGTGAATTGAGGCCACGTCATACTGTGGATATAAAATATAATACTTTTATTATTTACATACCGTAATAAAATTATGTGGCTAACATAACGTCATTTGTTATGCAAATTAATCATAATTAATTCCTTTGCAAGGCTTTTCGTTTAATTTTCTCCACTTAGCATATAATTTTAAAGAATTTAAGTGGTTTGCCATCCTTGACGGAGTTGCACTTGTATGTTCCTGCAATTATTGTCTATTCTAAGAATATTTCATAGATTTTACTACGTAACAATGTATGAAGTATATAATTTACTTAGGCTCTTAACTTCTACGCCATTAAAACTTAAGTAAATTGTCTATCTTCTGGAAGTAGGATCATATTGACTTTATGTTTGTTTGGTGATTTTTATCTTTACGAACTCATTTGGTTTTTGTGTTATCCCTTGTTTTGTTATAATTAAATACATTTATACATATAACCAACGCTACAATAATTAGTCAATTTCAATACAACTACTTCAACAATTTTCATTTGATTGTGTCTTAGTTTTTAGTATCTTCTCCATACCATATATTACTTTTATTACAGATAATTAAACCTATGTTACTATACCTAACGATTATAATATGTAGTGATTTATTAACATAAAGATATGAACGGAAACAACTGTGTATATACAATATTTAATGGCACATTGAATTTAGGAGGTAAAAAACGTTAAAAAGCGATACCGATTAAAAAAATAAATAATGTTACAGGATGTTTTATGATTTTTACTTCTATTCTAATTTATTGCAATACTGAGTTAAGTTAAGTTACACAATAAACGATTACGTGAATGACAAATGTGCATGGCAATAGCATGCACGGGATTTTCACTTAATTACTATATAAACATAAATACCTGCATAAGAAGTACACAATGTAAATAAACTGGTTTATATAAAAAAAAGAAATATTGTAGTACTAGTATTGAACTGGACGGTAGGGAAAAAATATTAATACAAATGTATTATAGAAAAGGTTTCGATTTGATATGATTTAAATAAATTAAATAACAAATAATCTGTTTCAAATGAGAAGTGGTAGTGATAAAATCGACATAATGCAGGTGTAAACAATATTTGTAGACACTCTTGGCGCGACCACTGTCGACCGGTCATCCATCAAAGTGATAACCCCGACTTCAACCACACACGATAAGGAAAAACAAAATAAACTTCAAGAATGTTCCTTTTAACTAAAATAATTATTACAACGATTAACTAAAATTTCAAAAATTTGAATTTACGATCTCTTTGTATGTTGAACTGGCGATTACATAAGGTTCTATGGTGAAGCTACAACCTATCTCAATGATTTAAGTACCCTATAGTAGATACTAATTTGTAGTTTTATAGAAAAAAATGTTGTAGAACTTTTATGTTTTTATATCATGATCTGATGATGCTCATCTTGTCATTCTTTACTGTTGCCCTGCAGTGTTTACCGTAAGCACAAACGGGTTCACCATATTAATGTCAGAATAACTATAGTGGCTGCATGACGCTGGAGTTTGATTGAACAGATTAAAAAAAAAACGGATATTATATTTTTGGATAAATTACAATTTTTATAGGCGGTTTACTTGACGGTAAGGACGGAAGAGAGTTACAGTACGGCAGAGTTGCCACAATATTAATGTTGGTTTCTAACAACTATTTTCTGCCAAGTTGAATATTAATTTATTGTAATTTTTACAAACGGTCTATTTCGACTGCATCTGAATTGCTAATACTGGGGACTACCAACTTAATTGCTTGTATATTACCGTCGAGTCGTCTTCGCAGTTCCTCTTGTAATTCCTGGCTAATATTTGCTATGTATATGTCATAAAAAATATTTATTGCGCTGATTGTCCTGCAATTCTATAATCTATGCCAACTCCACATTTGCATGACCCACGAATTCGTGTCGTACCGTGATTCAGGTCAAGAATTGTTGCTTTGACTAATCGCAGCGATAACGGCCGTCCAGACGGCTTTTGTTTGCGATTTTGAGCGCTCGCCGTTGCCGTGGTAGATGGCTAGTAGTCCGTGAGCTGGCAACAGATTTTGATGACCAAGACTCTCTCATTCGATAAGTCATAATGCTTAGGAAAGTTGTAATATGACGACTCATAAACCTCCGTGGCATCCTCCGTCGCACGGGTGGGTGTAAATATTTTCGATAATTGCCTATCATTTGATAATTTCTCAAATTATACCTAACCTTATGTCTAAGAAAAAAAGACAGCTATCTGTAATGTAGTGACATCAGCTGGTCACAATATTATAGTAAACTATTATATATCGTAGGTCTGTCAGTGGTTTCGTCACAATTGAAAATTTATTATATGACAATGTCAGCTGGCTGTCACCCTGAAGAATATGACGCAGGAGTCAAGTGAGAAATTAATGTCGAAACTTGTATTTGGCTCTCCGACTATAGCGGGTGTAATCGCCGGCAGCGTTTCATCGTGCCGTGGAACAGTCGGGCGGTCGCACCACGCGAGCTCTCACGTACGTTCGCCAGCCGTCCACATGACTCGCGCCACTCTACATTTCCGTGTAATTCGATAATTCACAATTTGCACCTCCCGTAGCCTTGCGATCAAACATCCAGTTGAGCAGGCTTCATGTGTCAGAAATTTTGCAATGCGATTTCATGCGCCGCCTCGCTAACAGAAGGTTGCCGTGCCCAAAACATAAACGATTGTGAAATTTTACTTAACTTTTGCATTTGAACGTTCTAAAATTCATACTATACACTGTATCTACTCGCCGTTTCATTACTGTGCCAATAGTGATGTGCGACGAGACGATCCAAATTTGAAATCGTGAAAAATTATCATCTGTGCTCATTCAGTGATGTTTTGTTTTTAAAATCATCCTCTAAAATGCTGTCTATGGATTCGTTGTGGTGCGGTTCAGAGAGTGAGCTGTCCACTCTGAGAATTTGCAAAAGTGCCGTCGAAAGGACTGAATACAGACTTTGTAGGCGGAAGACAAGCAAAAGTCTCATCCCTCAAGGCCTGCTCCATGCTCCCGAGCCTCAACCTATTAAGAGTCATAGGCAACGGAGATCTGGGACGTGGCCGTAAGTGTTTTATGTAATTTGAGACTATTAAAGTAATATAAGATTCACTTACATTTGTAATTAAATATAAAGCTCTACTACTGATAAAGGAGTAATAATAGCCTCTATCACATATTGAATTAGGAGTTATCATTCGTAAGATAATTTTCAGTAAAAGTAGTATCAGTTATCTATGTATTCTGAAAATAATTTCTGAAACATTAAATCTAAACGTTGCTGTACCATTACTGGATGCACTTCAATACATGTTCCTTTCGGAAAATTGGCAGGTTAGTATACGATTAATCTAGTACAAATATTGTAACAGGTCCCGCATTAGTTTTACATTATCTTCACCTATATTATTTACGTTATTTATCACTGTGTTCATATTAAAAAATGTTTACACCTCTCATAATAAACATTCGGCCTTAGATCGTCGGTACGTTCTTATTTTATGGAGTTGACAGTGATTAGAACGCTACTCTCACTTAAAGGCTCTGAGGGACTACTGCCAATTTATAATTTGTAATGTTTGTCTTCGAAACATAATCAACGAAATTTATGAATTATAAGTTGCTAATAAATGACAGGGATTCCAACCGTATGAGAATCGTCATTCAACTACGAGATATTTTTCCTTCTGTACGATCACTATTTCATCCTTGTGCAAGTTTTTACGATATTTTTATCTAGGTAATTCGGACAATTTACGAGGTTAGAGAGCCAAATTGAGATAATATACAATGTCTAATACAACTTAGCCAAGAAAATATTATACAAGTAGTATTTCTGGACTCCCCGGGATACTAAAAAAAATTAGAAAAGATTGCAATACAATGACAACAAACGTATATAATTGGCAACAGAAGAATCCGTATTCATTTATCCATTACAAGAAAAGAATGTGTTCTTTTGATGGTTATTTATATCTTGACTTTCTAAAATAAATGACGTGCAAAATATTTAAATGTAAAGTCAAAATGTAGTTTCACTGTTTGAATTCATTGTGTTTATGTAGTTTCATAGGGCATCGTTTGCGACCTGGGGGTCACGACACCAAAGTTCGTTCTCTGTATAATTGGGGGTCACATTCTGTTCAGTCAATAAGACATGTAATATAGAATACATAATATTAGTATTTATTGTATATACTGCGCTATTTACGCACTATTTATATTAATTAAGATTGAATAACTACATTAGGATGTATCTGAATAGACTTTGTGCAAAGCCGGTGCTTCTGTCTCGCCTATTTAAAAAGCTTGCTTTGTAAACTTTTTTTTTATGTAAAATACGAGTAATAATATAATATAATAATAAAATAATGAGTGAAAGGAATGGAAAATAGAATGATCCAGAATGGTTAGGCATTTGAGCTTCACAGATGATGTGATCTCCGTGGAGCTATTCATGTATTTAGGCGACGTTTGCCACCGTCAGTTGTGTAGGTGGTCCGCTTGTTTGCCATTCTTAAGGCCTCAGTGGTCTAACTTCGCTGGTTCGATTACTCGCACAGGACAAACGTTGGTATTCATGAATATAATTGTTTTTTCTATTTGTATTTTCTACACATACTGTGTATGTGTCAAAAGATATATATATATCTATTTATTTATACAGTTGTATAATAGACATAATACATTCTCTGCTTAGGTTGAGAGTTAATGGCGCTGTGTGAATTGTCCTAAGATATTATGACTATTACATATATGTATATTAAATCATAAAATTACGTAATAAATCTATGTTTTGTAAGCCAATACCTGATAAAAAATTGAGCTCTTTTTCCTAGGAAATAGGGTTTGAAATATGAAAACATTTTAAATATTATATACAAATCGCGTTTCAGGGATTTTATAGGCCTCTTGCATCATAGACATATAATATTAATGGAAGAAACTGTATTAGTATACAGTTTCTTCGGCGGCGTATATGAAACTTCGTATCGAGACTCTCAATTTGTTTTGAAATATTCAGCAACGTTCCTTGGGGAATGTTGTAGAAAGTACACCTTTGATATATACTACGTGTACCCAAGATTTCTTTTGTTTTATGATGTAGTTCTGAACATATTGATCGTTTATTCTTTGGTAGAAAATAATCCGGAACCTGTGCGCACATATGTGTATATACAGTTTCGAAAAATGTAAATATTTCGTAAAAAATGATATTATGCTTTTTTCTGATAGTCGATTAATAAAAGTATGTTTGTAATTGAATAGTTAGGTTAACAACTTTACCAAAATCACACTTCCTTAATGTACAGAGAATACACATACACAGTTTATATCGCCCGAGATTAATGCTATGATAAGAGTACGTTATTTTATTAATTATTATTGTTATCATTTAAATAAAATAACCTTGTTTGGATATAACAAAGAAATCAAGATAATTTAGTATTTCTAATGTAGGAAATATTACGATTTACAATACGATTAAAAACATCACAGAACTGTAATTAAAAGATTTTTAATTGTAAATGTAATTTGTTGCACTTAAATAATGAAATTTATTACAAAACAATATGACCATGCTGTTAATGAATGGTAATTCATAATATAATAAATTTAATATTCGGCATTCCTTTATTCCTCATTCGAAATTTAAAAATATATTCGATTACTTCGTGCCAATAGCACAGTTTCGTCTCCAGTTTATTTATACATTTATTATACAAAAATATTATTGTAATAATAATAATAATATTTTTGTGTATTTTTTGTTTTATAATTTTATTGTAATCATTTCGACAATGCTCCTTGGGCAAATTTGTTCAATTTTGTATGTACTCGTATCCTAATAATATTTTGTATATATATTCCTATTACTTATTACTTAACTTATTTTTCCATTGCTCAGAAAAAAATTAGGAACTAATATTATATCATAGTTAAAAAAGTAACATTCAACCGTTTACACTTTATGTAAGTAGATACGATGTTATTGTAGTGGTAGTATTGTAACATATTATTCTATTGTATTATTGCATTCTTTATTATTGTAATCCATCACATGTCATATATATTTATATATACATTATAAATTTTTTTGTGTAATTGGATGGCAATCACGCTGACGGCTCTCCCGGTGGTAAGGAGTCATCCTGTAGCCTGTAAAATCCAGAATGGAATATTATTTGACGGGACATGGCGACGATACGATTAATAAGGTGGACACTTAAGCAAAATGTGACAACGCGAAACTAGTCTCGACTCTTGAGTCAAACTAGTTAGTACGACTAGAACGATAACGGCATTCGATACTTATTACGATGAACTGCAGCTGTAATCGATACAAATTACAAATTACGTAATTACCTAGTACTGTTGAAAGAATCAAAATATAAGATTAAAAAAAGTTTACCTACATGTAGTGTTTCTTGGTTGGTTCTTCTCAAGTGTAGTAGTTAACCGAATTGTCCGATAGTGAGAAAACATTCACATATTCTATTATATATTGCACTTAAATACATTAATTAGGTATGTACATTAGACATAATGTTAACACTGGAGTACTTATCTTTAAAAAGATCGCTTCCAGTCAATCCTGCACAACGTAGCATAGGTAGTGTTGAATTGGTCAAAATGTAGAAATAATAATATTATAAATAAATAGCTTTTGCCAGCGGCTTCTCTCGCGTTAAGAAGTATTATTATTAATTAGATATAGTTTTTACGGCTTTCACTTTTGTTTCCTTTGTTAGGGGATGCCTACGTCATAGTAGCTTTATTCATGCAAAGTCTCAGTCCGATCGGTTTAAAATTGACAAACTTCCATCCCCTATTTTATCACCTTGGGGGTAGAATTAATCAAAATCCTTTCTTAGCGGATGCCTACGTCATAACATCTACATGCATGCCAAATTTCAGCCCGATCCGTCCAGTAGTTTAGGCTGAGCGTTGATAGATCACTACGTCAGTCACCTTTGAGTTATATATATTTAGATTAAACATTAACTTAAAAGGCTAAACTATCCTGTCAGAATATGTGGTTTTAATTGAATTTGATTTCAAATTCAGAAGCAATTCAGTCTATTTGTATTACATTGGTTACAGGGTATACCAAGGTATACCTCAGTCTTCCGGTTGACTAACGTATGAGCCACCAGCAGTTTCCATAGTGCTGTGTATACACACAGTGGTTGGGACTTACCGCTAGAAGGCCCGTCAGTCAGTTAAGTTAGGGCCTTTGGGTGCCCATATTATTCTAAATAAAAAATATGTAACTCTACCTCGTCATGTTCGAGGTATCTAAGAGATAAGCGACTGATTTGTTTACAAGACTGCACATTTGTCTTGTCCACCACGTGGCCTGTCTGATATTATCAGTGGGATATAAACTAAAGCCAGGCCTTTCTCTTTCAGTAGGTCAGACTACCGACATCATGCCGTATGTGTATCAAGTTACCATACTTCGACTTATTTTGCTTATATGGTTTCATATGGGTGACCTATTACCTATATCCAGCAACCACCGACCCAGATATCTCGTGATGCATAACTGTAGTCTTCTTACATTGTGGCTGCCATTGTGGTTTAATCATACTAACCCAGGGCAATTAACACAGCTCCATCTAGTCCCAAATTAACATATACATAGACATACTTTTTTGTAAATACATTCAAAGTATGTAGTATTCCAGATGGTATTGCTTTTAAATAGCACTGAGGTTGCTTAGAAAATCTGTTTGACTAAATATCGCAAATTTATTAGTGGGGTCACACATTTTCGGTTCAGTCGGACATTTGTTTCGATTGACATAGGTATTTCAAAACAGTATCCAAATACGCCATTCAGACTGGAACATTGTGTTTTTCTTTTCCTGCATAGATATATTTCACCTTTATTTAATGCTTGAGTTATAGAACATTTTTCTTAATGCAATAGCATCAGTAGAAATAAGTGAAAAAATTATTGTCGTACATACACATATGTAAATAAAATTTATTCTCATCGAATCATCCTTCACTGGTGCCTCGCCAGGTATACCGTTAGCGCAGGCGGGTACGTCATTT